GGGAGGGTCAGAGGCAGAAGCAGGCTCCCTGCCGAGCAGGGAGCCCGATGCGAGACTCGATCCAGGGACTCCAGGATCATGACCTGAGCCGAAGGCAGTCGCTTAACCAACTGAGCCACCCAGGCGCCCCTGAAAGATGTTTTAAAAAAAAGAATGCACAGGTTAATTCCATTTAAGCCAAAGTTTGTGTTTTCAAACGGATTGGTGTCCCTAATTTGTTAATTTTAGGATCCAACTATATTAACCACTTATAACTTATTTTTAAACCTGAGGGTATAAAATTGCTCCTTTGAAACTAAGGGCACATCTTGCCCGAATCAGATTGACCACTATCATTGGGTGCTCCTTGCCACTCAAGTTCACAGGCATTCCTGTCATTTATCAGAACCAGAGCATGACTGTGAAAATGGAAAGAAAGCAAGAAAAATCTGTTATCTCTGTGCTGTCCCTCATAACTCATTTGCTTCTGCACCAATGACCAGATCCTCCTTCCACACGGTTATTCAAGCCATGCCCCAGGGGGTCAGCCCTCTACCTGCACCTCTGTTGCCCCCACACCTAACCACCAAATCCTGGCCATTCTCTCCCCCTAGTATTACTCACACCTGTCTCTCCACGGCCACTGCCATTGGGCTCCTCTGAGCCACCATCACTTCTTGTCAGGATTTCTGCAATAACGTCCTGTTACCCCACCTCTACTCTTACCTTCCTCCGATTCTCCACCAAGCAAAAGTAGTAACTTTCAAATGCAGGTCAGCCCTTCGGTGGCTCTTAGGACAAGCTCTGCAATCTGACTGGGCACACCAGGGCTCAGCATGTCTGCTTCCTGCCTCTCTGGACTCATTACCTGCTTACCCCTACTCAGGCCATGCTGATGTTTTTCCTTCCTAGCTTGGTTAAGTCCTACTCTCCCTCAGCGCTCAGCTGTACCTCACTTCCTCAGAGAGGCCTTCCCTAACTGTTGGCACTCCCACCATTGCAATTAATGTGTGATCACAAATAATTATGTGATCTCCTGTCCAGTGCCTGTTCCCGATATAGACTGAGTTCCCAGAGTCAGGGCCCTGCCTGCCTTGTTTAATACTGCATCCTGGGCTGTTCTAGTGCCCAGCACTAGGGCACAATAGGACTAGTAAGTATCTGTTTGAATCCAGCGATATTCACATCCCACATGTGCTTCATTGCTCCCTGAAGAACCCACAGGCAAAAACTAAAAAATAAAACCTTCTACGTTGGAAACAGCTGAAAACCAATTCAAAGCCATTAATAGGTATTATTAACTATCATCCTGTACTATCTTGACTAAAATTAATAATTGATTATTTTAAATAAAATTTTGTAGCTGAGAGAAGTTAAACAAAGATAGCTAATGAGGGGCACCTTGATGGGTGCAGATGCTTCAGTAGGGCTCCAGGGATTTGGCTAGAAATGCAGTTTATTCTTCAACCAGTCATGTCCCAAGTCTGGGATGCACCAGAAACTGTGGGATATCCAGCCTTCTGATGCTGCACATTAATTTACGGGGTGTCATGTAATTATCAGGCACTGCTGGTGTCTGCTCAGAAAGCACATTTCTCTGCTGTGCAATCTAGGGGAGAAGCTAGATTGTTCTCCCAGAATTGGGGGACATGGAATCAGAGTCAGGAGAGCATGGGGTCAAAATGTGTGTCAAACAAGGTTGGCTCTAAGTGAACTGTCTGAAACAAAAGGGTCAGAAACCAGCATTTTAAACAATACCTCATGTTGTGATTATGTTTCTCTATCCTCAGGTACTTTTTCAGTCTCTATGATTATTAAAGTAATTTTGTTCACATCCTAAATCATTTGCCTTCTTATTTGTTAAATTGATTTCCACGCAGTCTCTGCATCTTCACTGAGGTTGCTCATGGGTTCCCCACAGCTTCGGTTCTGATGACAGAAGCTGGACTAAATGGAGACAATATAACATCACAGAGCAATCAAAATTATGTTTAATAAAAGCCTAGTGAATATGAATAATAGATTTTTAAGAGGTTAAGGTAGAACTAATTAAGTCAACTTAAGGGTCATTAACTGACAATGAATTGACATTTTAAAGAAAGCAAAAGAACTTAAGTAGAACACAAATTGCTTTTTTTTTAAAAAAAAAGATTTTATTTATTTATTTGAGAGAGAGAATGAGAGACAGAGAGCATGAGAGGGAGGAGGGTCAGAGGGAGAAGCAGACTCCCCGCCGAGTAGGGAGCCCGATGCGGGACTCGATCCCGGGACTCCAGGATCATGACCTGAGCCGAAGGCAGTCGCTTAACCAACTGAGCCACCCAGGCGCCCAAACACAAATTGCTTTTTAAGAGAACTTCACAAGTTGTGAAATTACCCCCAGGGAGTATGAAAGCTAACCATTTGCGAACTAGTAGATGGAAAGCTTTCCTCTTAAACCAATTTGTTTTTAGCATAACAAATTTTATTAAAGCTAGAGATACAAAATGAAATGAAATAAAATAAACTCGTTAAAACATTACCAGGCAAGCAGATCACACTTAACTGCTCACAACTAAATAAAAAAATAATTGTAATCTGAAAATCTGTCATAAATACCGAAGCAGTCTTGAAAAGCCACAAGACAGCTCTTTTGTATATAAAAATTATCAAAATTATCCATAAGCTTCACTTCATGGTATTAATATAAGTTTAAATATGCATAAAAATTAGAGCTGTACTATCCATGGTACACAATACATGGAAAACTTTGTCACTAGAAGTATTTTTCTTTGACCTTGCATGCTGATGCTCATCATCCTCTTTACAATAGAAAATTGTGGGATCACATTGTGTCAGGCCAAGTAAAAATGCACTCTCCTGATTTTTGTTGTTGTTGTTGAAATTTCCCCATACATAATTCTAGAGAGTTGTAGGCTCTTATTTCTTCTAAGAAAGGAACATTTAGAATTCCTTTCAGTGCTGCTTTTCAGTGTTTGCAAAAGGTAAAAAATCCAGTTCATTTACTACTGCAATTTCTTTTCATAGACATGCCTCCGGAATATTAAAAACATATATTGCCAGAACTTGTTATATAAAATAGTTAAATCTCTACACCCAATGTTTATATAGTCATTTTCTAAGAAGCCTTTATTTTCTCCTTTTTAATGGGCAATTATCTTACATTCCAGTTTTGTTAAGTGGATGTTTGTTAAATCTCATTTTTATATTCATATGTACATTTCTCTGACCCAATACCAATCTTGTTGTGAGCTTTGTGATAGTGTCACTGAAGACTTGGAAGGCTTCTATACTTTGCACAATTGCAGGTGTAATTTATTTCAAATGTTAAAGGAAGTGAAGCCAAAGGCTAGATTCTTTGGAGCCAGAACTCCCATGCCTGTAGTCAATGGAATGATTTGGTCTGTCTGCTTGCCACAGGGCAGTCCGTAGAAGTAACAGAGGAATGGACTAAAGCATCCTTTTATTTATTTATTTTTAAGAATTTATTTATTTATTTGAGAGAGAGAACATGCACATGCAAGAGCGGAGGGAGGGGCAGAGGGAGAGGAGAAGCAGACTCCCATGACTCCAAGATCATGACCTGAGCCAAAGGCAGGTGCTTAACTGACTGAGCCACCCAGGGACCCCTAAAACATCTTTTTAAACAGGCCCGGGGAGCCTGGGTGGCTCAGATGGTTAAGCGTCTGCCTTTGGCTCGTGTCATGATCCCAGGGTCTGGGGATTGAGCCCCACATCAGGCTCTTGGCTCAGCAGGGGGCCTACTTCTCCTTCTCCCTCTGCCTCTCCCCCTGCTCGTGCTCTCTCTCTCTCTGTATCTCTGTCTCAAATGAATAAATAAAATCTTAAAAATAAATAAATAAACAGGCCCAGTTCATCTAAATCATTTTTCCAGAAAGTCCTCTAGAACCTGAGAAGGCTAGTACATCATTAACCAGATGTTCAGGTTAGGTCCAGAATAGCCAGAACAGAGTGAGCTCAGTTGTCTTGGCAGGATCTAGAACAAGTATGTGGCTGTACACTCTGATTTAATTGTGGCCACCTGCTTTGCTGAGCGCCAACTCTTCAGAGACCAGGAGGTGAACTGCTTCCCTTCTCCCTGGGAGGCACCCCATGTGTTTGTTAGGCCATCAGCGTGAATGCAAAATAGATGTTAAAGGCTTTAGTCCTCCCTCCACTTCACGGCTTCCCCCGTCCAGTGCCCCTCCTATTTTCTCACCTTCTTAGCATCCCCTCTTCATCCCTCTATGGCTGTTCCACCTTCTCTAAATACCAAGGAAAATGTTCCGAGGCCAAATCACTAGGTCTTAAGCCTAGAAAAACATGGGGTCTCCACTTCTTCCCCAAAGGGAATCATAGATACTAAAGGCCTTAGGATGTAAAGACCTTGATTTATTTGGTTGGGAGGTTGGTGTTGATCGGAGGAGAGGGGTGGAAGGAAGGAAGCCACAAAGGACAGTTGTCCTGGTGATCACTCTCTGGGGCAGCCAGGTGGGGACTAACCAGTGCCGACTTTCCTCTCAAGATCAGGAAGGGAGTCCCAGGAGCGCAAGGAGGCAGGGGCCTCATGATTAGTTGCCTCTGCTGTGAGCATTTTTCTGGGGCAGTGAGGGATGAGTAGGCTGTGAGGGCCAAGGAATCGCCCTGACCTGATGCTGCCTAATTTTCCACCAGTGTGTCTGACTTTATGTGGGTGGAGTAAAGGTAGTGAGGGGCTTAAACTGTGCCTGATGGTCTGTGTAACTTGTTTAAAATAATGGACTAATTAAGGCTGGGAAAGCTGAAATGTAACGAGGGGATACCCTGGCGATCAAAGATGAGCTGACTTTAGTTCAGGGTGGACTGTTACGTGACCAGTGACAGTAGTGAAATCCCTGGATCGATGGTGGGCTGAACATGTCCAGCTGGACTGTTGCTTTCTGATGGGGATGGGAACTCTAGGATGCTGGCGGTCGCTCATGTTGTCACATGGCTTTCCTTCTGCCAGGGAGTCATTGTTTCTGTCCTCCTTCCCTGACCAGGTGTTGGACTGGATTGAAAACCATGGTGAGGCCTTTCTCAGCAAACACACCGGGGTTGGGAAGTCGCTGCATCGAGCCCGGGCCCTGCAGAAGAGGCACGATGACTTTGAAGAGGTGGCTCAGGTGAGACGCTCTGTGTGGTTGTGTGTGTGTGTGGAACTGGGTGAGGGAAGCCAGGGCCATGGCTTTGGTATTTGGGTTGATAGTCCAGTGGTTTCTGGGTTGCCTTCCTGCCTGATGCAAGGAGACCCTTGTCTGCTCTTGGATCACTAGGTGAGTGATAAATAGACCTTTAGTTTATGGTCTTCAGAGAAAATCTTCCTGGCAAGCATGATCAGTAAATGCCTTGTCCACAAGGTGGTAATAGCAGAAGGAATGGATGTTAGAAACATCGACAGCCCAGAACTACTGCTTACAGTTATCACCAGGGGCAAGTGGGAGCTGAAAATCAGCATTAGCTCTGCTTGCAGAGCTGTGTGTCTTCCAGGACCTGGAGGAGGAGACGGTACCTGTTCACCCACATCATGTATCCATAAGGCTGACTGTGCCCAGAGAATATGGCGTAATGTTCGGTCTTTTAGATGAGCTCTATACCTGATCCCAAAGGGCATTTTTATCTAATTTCACAAAGATGCCGTGAGAGGCCTTGACCATTTGACTTCATGGTAAGGGGTATAAGAGGGTTTTTTGTTCTGAGCCTGCAACCCCCCAATATTATCCAAACTCTCTTATATTTCTCTTTTGGGGAGTTCTCTAATGGATCCTGAACATCTTCATCTTCAAGATGAAATACTACTCTGTCCATTTATATTGTCAGACATGATCAGTTGCAGTGGAAACTAAGACCAAGGAATGAAGCAGGGTAGGGGCGTCTGCGGGGGGACCAGTATGGGGCAGGAGGCAGGATGACAAAGCTAGTGTTTGCCGCAGCTGTTAACCAGGCCTGGCTCCCATCCCACCATGTGGGCAGTCCTCAGGGTGGGTGTCACCCTGGGCATCATGCAGAGTGCTACCAGTCCCAGAGAGAACTGTGGGTGAGCTGTGGATGTCAAAGGTGAGCCCCTGTCAAAAACCAAAGGAATCTGCTAGAGGACAAGAAAGTGGTGGGAGCAAACTACATCTCTAAGGAAGCTGCAAGTAGGTGCTGGAAAGTGAGAGGCCTGGCAGGTGCCAGAAAGACTGAGTCACTAGTGACCTCAAGCTGGGAATACAGATGGATTAGACCCAACCTATGCAATAAAGAAAGCCTCATATAGAATCTTTGTGCACAGTTGGTGGGAATGTAAAGTGATGGAGTCACTGTATGGCAATTCCTCAAAAAATTAAACATAGAATTACCATATGATTCAGTAATCCTACTTCTACATATATACTCAAAAGAATTAAAAGCTGGGATGTGAAAAGATTCTTCTATACTCATGTTCATAGCAGCGTTATTCACAATAGCCAAAAGATGGGAGCAACACAAGTGTCCAGATGAAAGGATAAAGAAAATGGGGTCTATACAAACAATGGAATATTATTTGACCTCAAGAAGGAAGGAAATCTGACAACGTACTACAATATGGATGAATCTTGAAGATATTATGCTATGTGAAATAAGTCAGTTTTGAAAGGACAAATAGGAGTCCACTTATATGAAGTACCAAGAGTAGCCATATTCATAGAGACAGAAAGTCGAATGATGGTTGCCAGGGGCTGGGGCAAGGGAGGGAATAGGAAGTTATTATTTAATGGGTACAGAGTTTCACCTTTACAAGATAAAGAGTTCTGGAGATGGACGGTGGTGGTGGTTGCACAACAATGTGAATGTATTTAATGCCACTGAACTTAAAAAGTTTTACATTATGTATATTTTACTACCATCACAAGAACAAAAAAGCAAGTCTCATCCATACAAAGACCTTCTACAGAATGGGCTGGATCATGCCGATGTAATATAGACATGGGCCAAATGGGTCTCTGGATGTAGCACAGACCCAAAATATCTGAGTGTCCAACATCCTGGGTGCTTTTGCTATCTGTCAGGGGACAAAGGATTGGAGAGGGCCACATGGACTCCCTGTCTGCTGAGAAGGGGTGTTGTCGGATCTGGGGCGGTCTATTGGAATGGAGCCATCCCATAGCTGTAGTGTTCTTGCCCTTTGGCTATCCTGTGGCTCAGCCCTTCCTCACTCAGAAAGAACATCCCCAGAGCCACCCACAGCCCTGAGTCAGCCAGCCCCCCTCTCCCCCTTCCTGCTGCAACCTCAGAGGCAATGTCAGCCTTGGTTATAGGCCCTTGAGGGAGCTATTGTTTTGTGTGTTGTTTCAACCGAGCAAGCCTGGCTGCCACCTGAACTCTAACCCCACTTCTCCCAATTGCTCCCCTACCTTCTTGCTGATGCCTGATAAGCCTTTCACATGGGACAGTGCCTTTCAATCAGTAGCAGAGACACATTCACTTAAATTCATACTAAAGAAAGAATGGACACGTTCTGAGAGCCTGGGGTTCCATTATGTGTTTTATCTCCCACCAATCCTGGATGGTGGATAGTATTAGCCTTGTTTTATAGAATATGATGCTAGAGCTCAAAAAATTCTTCAGTGTGCCCAAATCGTCTGGCTTGTCAGCAGCTCTGCTAGGATTCAAACTCGGTCTGTCTGACCTCAGAGTCATGTTTTTACCCTAACTTCACTCTGCCCCTCCTTATTGAAGTATAGGACCTGAGTGTAAAATTCATTTCCAAGTGCCAGTTTCCTCAAGAAAAGTACAGAACAAAGAGCAAGAGGGGGGCAGGTGGGGTGGAGAGGAGATGCTGTGGCCATTCCGTTTGGCATACATTACAACTCTTCCCAATCTCTTGCTATAATCCACTTCTCCCTGTCCCTGCTTTCAGATAAGACAGCGTCTTTCTTAGGAGAGAGAGTTCTGCCTTCTAAAAGGCTCATGCTTTTTGAAGTATTCCCCTTGGAAAGGGGACAGATGTGGACAACAAAGGGCACACATAAGCATGGGCCATGAAGTTGCCATATTGCCCTGCAAATCGGTCTTGAGAGATGAATCTCATAGTCTAGTAATAAATCCTGTTTTGTTTTCTCATCCCTACTCTGGGGAAGGGTATGGGCAGCGGAGCTCCCTAGCATCCTGGAATTGGTAGTCCACATTGGAAAATCAACTTGACTGTGGCAAAGGCAGATGAACTGGCAGCAGCCTCAGATCTGCTTTCTTCTGTGCAATGTGATCATCACGCTCAGGTGGTGGGAAAGGAGATGATCCAGGCAGGAAAGGGTGTGCCCTCTCTCTCTTGCTTCTGTTCTCAATTAGGTGAGGGCCACTGGGAGGGGAGGAGTGGATTTAATCAGGATTGGACAATTCTTGAGTCAGAGATCAATGCTACAGAGCCAAAGCATGGAAACTTTTGTTGCTTGTTGTTTGGGGTTGCTGGTCAAGAGATCTAGTCAGAAAGGACATCACAAATGATGAGAAGTAGGAGGTTGGGGGGGGGGTGTCACTTGTTACCAGAACTACAGAGGGTCATGATTCAGTGAAAGAATCTCTTTTAATGTCATGATTTTATGGTTCTTTGACCTGAGGCTGATAGGAGAAGGAAATTCTGAGCACCCATTCTCTATATTCAAGTTAAAAAATTGTCCTGAATCAAAGCAGGAAGAGAGCTGTTGCACCTGTTGCATCCCTGGGATGCTGCCCTTCTACAGGAAAGAGCAAGCCCTCCAGCAGAGAAAAGGGCTACGCACAGGGAGAGGCCCAAGGGCAGTGTGAACTCATGGAACAAATACACCTCTACTCTGGAGATCGTGTAAAGACACTGAAGACAACAGTAGAAATATCCAGTATATCTGGGAAGAATTAATGTAGCAAACCATGACCTTACATTTTGTGTTTATTAGCTCTTGAGCACATTTTAAACAAATTCAACGGTCATTTGAAGGAAGTGAATGAAGTATTTATGGTCCTCAGTTCATCCTGCAGATGGCACTCTTCGAATAGTCTACCTGGAAGCTGAGCTGAATGGGAAGGAAGCCACTTCCCACTTGGCAGGGGAGGCTCCTGACAGGCAGGTGGGGATAGTCTGGGGCCACGTGTGCAGCAGGGGTCTGTCTCTATAAATGTTTCTAGTCCAAGTTACTGAGATCCTCTGTGCTCAAACAGAAGACCTGGGGACTAGCAGGAACCCTTCTGATCCTGGTAGATACTTTACTCAAGTTGCCTATAAACTCATCACATGACTCAGGCTATAGAGTAAATCAGATTTTAAAAGACACTTATTATATCTTTATATATATTTTTGTGGCACGGTAGTTGTTATCAGGAGTATAAAGAAGTATAAGATAGAGTTGCTGCCCATCACATCATATCTGTCAGGGGATACGTGTGTCCACATCTTGCCCAGGAGGTAGTATGGGCCATGGTACTGTTATTTTGTCCTGAGATATTTGCTATTACTCAGAAGGAAAGTACTCAAGTGCCTGTGTTTTAGAGAGCAGCTGTGCCTGCTCTGTGAATGGTCTGCTTTATGACCTCATTATCTGGAATGCCAGACTTTCTGTAAGCTAGCTTAGTAAAAAAAATTAGCAATCATTTGCACTCAAATATACATTATCTAAAATCTCAAAGCACCAAATCACATTTAAACAGCTAAGCATATTAAATAGCATTTGTGTAACATTTTTGAAAGAACAGACCATTTAAAGAAAGATTTAAAGAAATATAAAAACATAGGCACGATTAAGCACTTCATTCAATAATCTCTGGTTGGTTGTTTATCTGACTCTTGCTGTTTTCCCAAACTTGAATAGAAAACACTTTAAAAAATTCAATATGAGTCTTGGGGTCAAAATAGGCAAAAATGGGGGCGCCTGGGTGGCTCAGTTGTTGAGCATCTGCCTTCGGCTCAGGTCATGATCCCAGGGTCCTGGTATTGAGCCGTGCGTCGGGCTCCCTGCTCAGTGGGAAGCCTGCTTCTCCCTCTCCCACTCCCCCTGCTTGTGTTCCCTCTCTTGCTGGGTCTCTCTCTGTCAAATAAATAAATAAAATCTTTTAAAAAATAGGCAAAAATGGAAGGGAAACATTTTAGTGGACCTATCAGTGACCTTACCCATCAAAGATCTTCAAAGTGTAA